CAGGCAGGTGCTCACTTGCTCCTATGACTTTCACTATCAAAGAGAACTTCTGGGTGCCACAGGCGCTTTCTGCACAAGTGACTCCTCCTGGCAAAGGCTGCAGAGATTCCCACTGGAATCATCCACAGGCTCATTACCACAGGAGCAGGAAGCTTGTGAGCTGCCAATTTCTAGTGGCACCTTTGCCCTCACTTGGCTGCTTTATTGCCATGTGCCAGATGTTCAGGGATGTGAGCCCGAGCAAGCCAGAGAGCTCCCTCTAATTCACTAATGACAGCCAAGAAACCACCCTGGAACTGGCCTCAGTTCCAGGCTGAGATGGCTGCTTTGCATATCTGGAGCTTGTAAATCCCTGTTTGTTTCGGGAAGCATCTACTGTCCATGCAACAGAGAAACTTTCAGCTTTTGACCATTATTTTAAGAAGCAATATATGACCAAGCCTCTATCCCTCTGCAATTCCTCTGGTACTTTGTGTATTCAAAAAGAGTTTGTCACTGAAAGACCCAGGCAGATGCAGGAGGGTACAAGCACTGGGAAGCAGCAGGGTGGATCACAATATATATCTGTTCTGTCTCTTGGCAAAAATAACAGTCCAGGAGAAAGTTTAACTGTTCTGAGTGACTGTCCATGAGTAATCCCTCTGTGAGGATGCACTGGCAGCAGTTGTTTCATCGGCAAAGGGGTGCCTGGAAGTGTCACAGGCTCTTACAGCAATGATTCCATGTCACCATTGCCAGACCAGTCACCACAGACGCACGAACAGCTCACATCTGTGACCCTTCTGCAACAGCCATGAGTTCATGGAACTGCAGGCTCTGGGACTCCAACCCACTTCCTTTCCACTTGTACACTGACTTATTAGGTCAGCATGGTGCAATACTCCCCTCTGCTAATCATGTCACCTTTCTCCATCCCATACTACTTTTAGCTGCAACCGGTGCTATGATTTTCTCCTTTAGTTTATTCCAGTTCTTGTCAAATGACTGAAATCAGGTTACCAGCGTTTCAGTCACTCAGATTCACTCATCCTTCCCTTTCTTAAAGGCAGGTCTACGTTCTCTGGTGATACACTGTGCTCTGTCTTCCTACAAGACTTCAACCTGGAGTGCCAGCTCAGCCAGCACTCTGTGATGGAGACTACATTTGTTTTGCTGTTGAAAGTGAACATTTAACCAAATCTGTCCTTTTTCGAGGTTAATGTTTTCTCTCAAGTTTTTACATGCTTCCAGATATTTCTGGTTTATTGTGAAATAAAAAGCAGTTGAGCTTTCACATTTCCTTAGGTCCATATTCCACTGCTTCTGCTTCTGGATACAGTGTCTCTCAGGGCACTAAGGCACCACACAGATATCAGAGAGGCTGTTGCACCAGACTATATGTAAGACATAAAATCCCCTGCCCCACAGTTCTACTAATGCTTCTGCATCACTGATTATTTTTCCTTATAACATCTCCTGAAAATCCTCCTCTCTACACAGCACTTATTCCCTTCTCACTATGCAAGTGCTGCCAAAAGACTAACACAACACAGAGCAAATCCCTCTCAGCTGCAGGGAGAATAAGCTTATCTGACCACTGACCCAGCAATAAATAGCCACTCGCCTTTCATTTACTCTTTTTCCAATAAGCTCCCTTCAATTTCACTTACTCAAGAGAGGACTAAGCAAGGATCCCAGTACCTGTTCAAGCAGGTCCAAGCTGCTCCAGGTGCCTGAAGGAATTCAGAAGGTCTCATTACCCACCTGTACCATGGACAGGTGAGGATGCCATCAACAGTCACAGAGAAAGGAAACATCAGAGGGCAGAGATCAGCCAATTTTTTTGAGGAATGTGTAGACTTCCACAGCAGTTGTGCTCTTTAGAAGAATGCTTCCATTTTCCTTGTCTCCATCCTGAGGCCAGAGTCCTGACTATAAGCACTGGTTTGCAGTGTGTCTGCACGAAGTCTTGCAGATGGACATGTCAGATAAGGAATAAGCAATAGTGGCATACAGAGCTCTCAGGTCATGCAAGTGCCTCTACATAAATCCAGGAAAGGAAGAAACTCCCCTTTCTCTGGAAAATCAGCTGAGAGACAAACAAACTCTTGACATACAGAGAGCACTGGGCAGGCATTTGTCATTTTGAACTTACCCCACACTGATGAAAATGCTAACACTCACACCAGAACAAACAGACGCCTACGTGCTATTCCCATAGCACTGCTAGTCCTCCACTGGGTCATTCCTATCTAAGAGACAGCACTTTCTGCACTGGTTTCCTCTAGAAAAAGCAGCTGTGTGAGCCACCTGCTTGCAGCTAAAGCCAGTGACAGCAAGATCTCAGCCTCAAGTAGAGAGAAATCAGAGGAGAGCACAAGGCAGATGTCTTCCAGCCACCTGGGCTGCATCCTAAAGTACTCGATGAACTGGCTCAGCAGTCTCAAGAACTAGCACTGATTCCCTTTGGAGTATCAAAAGCCCAACAAAAGGTAGGGGGTCAAAGGATTGAAAAATGGACAAAAATAGTGCCTAGCCTTAAGAAGGCAGAAAAGGGAAGAAAGTTGAATTATGATTTTAATTCCCAGAAGAGCAGGATTAATTATTTGTAAACACCTGAAAAAAATCAAAACAGACTGAGTAGCAACCCAGGTGGATTTGTCAAGAGTGAATTATTAAAAAAAATTTTCTTTATACAGACAAAAAACTATCATAGAAGAGAAGCAAGACATGAACTGGAATTCAGTAAAACTTCTGACAGATCACTTTCACAAACATGCCAAAAGCATTATTGATGATACAACTGTGATACAAGTCCAGAAGCGGCCAAAAAACTATCCAGGAGGCTCAGTGGGCTCACTCTAGGAATGAAAGGATGTTAATACTTTGGGGTCTGCCTAGGAACCAACATTGTTTAGTGTTTTCATTATCAACCTGGATGATGAAGTAAAAAGTATGTTTATTGAATTGCAGAGGACATGAATCTGGAAAGAATGGCACGTATGCTGGGAAGTCTGCCAAAAGAACTTGGCAAAGTGGAGGAGTGTTCTGGAAGAAAGGATCAGTAGGGACAAGTGCACAGTGCTGCTCTTTGGCACGAGGAGCCAACGGCACAAGCACAGGGTGTGGAGTGGGGGAAGTGGCTGCTCTCCAATTCTTCCCGAGACCTGGAGTCTCCAGGAACCCGACACTCACCTTCAGTTCCATGCCATTGTGGAAAAGGCCACAGAAACAGTGGATGTATAAAGAATGAGAACTGTGAGGTTAATGAATAATCTATTTGCTCCTCTTTTTTGCTGTAGTCTGTACATTTTTGGGCACTGCTCTTTAAGAAAAAGATGAATTAACTACAAACATTCAAAAGAGCAACATGAATTAAGAGATCTGGAAAACATCACCTAAAGGAACTGAAAAAACCTCAGAGTGTTTATTCCAAAGAACTGAAGGATAAAGAGCCAATCACAAGAACACTGAAGTAATGCACAAAGCTGAAGTTCTTTCTGCTTTCTGCCAGTCTGGGCACTGAAGCATGCAATTAAGAGAACTGCAATCACTCTCCCCGGCCTGGCAGCTTTTAACAGACTATTTTCTGCACCTTTCCAAGACCAGGGGATACCACACAGGAATCTACTTGACTGCAAGCATCAGGGGGAAATTAAATTTGTTTTGAAGTAAACCAACCCATCCTTTGAGCTTCAAGCTAAACACTAGGAGTCCCTGCAACTGCATTCAGGTTGCAGGGCACTGGCACTGCCAGGGCTTTCCCTTTCCCTGAATGAGGAACAAGAGCCTGACATAAAGGAAAGAAAATTACTTTTGACTCAATTATTCATGTTACGAAAGCCCACTTGTGCTTGCCCAGAGGTTGACAGGTAACTTCATCTGTCTGGTAGCAAAAAAATAATTGCAAGTTGGTGCCAGGGTTAGACAAGAGCAAAGTATGAGCCCTTAAGGCCCTCTGTGTAACAACTGTATACAATGATATTCCCAGACGGTTTCGTTATGTATGTGGTGAGCTGCCAACCTCCTCTCTCTGTCTCTAAACACATAATATGCCATGCCCTGAATGCTAATCCATTTGTCTTCTTATTTGCTGAAAAGTCAAATTAAGCATTAATTGCATTAAAGCAATTAATTGCATTAAGCGTTAATTAAGCATTAAAGCATTAATGTTGCACATTAAGCAACATTCGAAAACAGATATATATATATATATATATACATATATATATATAAACTGTACCCATTATTTATTTGGGATTTCCTGACAAACTGTTCACTGAATGAGAAGTCATTGACCACAATCTGATTCTGTTCTGGGTAGGTGAATTAAAGAGAGAAACCCTGACTATTGACAGGTCCATGGTGCCTCAGAAGGACACTCATGCAAATGAGGGGGTAAAATTTTTACATGGGGAAGGCAGTGTATCCACCATTTCAGTGTTTTAAAATGAGACTTGATATTGTTTTGAAGGATTCTTTAACAAAACACAAATCATGAATCTCAATAACTGAGCAAAATGTAATGGCTTGTGCTATTCAGGAGGTCACATTAAGTCTGATTGCAGCCTTTTCAACAAGTTGGGCTGCTGCTGTCTCCTCCTCCCCTCCTGTGACATCACATCCTTGTCCTCAAACTCCCATTTCTTCCCTTTCCCATTGCTCTCTTCCTTCCTCTGCTCTTAAATCCTAAGAGTCCATAAAATGCATGCAAAAGCTGGTCCTTTTAAATACTCTTTAAGATAACTAAATATTAATTTAATTGTTTGTAGCACACACTAACAATCTTGAATAGCAAGCCTCATCTATGATGCAACACAGATTACAGAGAGCTATCTTTGTAAAACATATTTAATTAAAGCTGAAGTCCATGTAGGTAAAGACAGTCTTCAGTTAAATGCAGCAGGACACAGAGTGGAACTCTCCTCAGACCAAAACGTGGCAGATATGATGGTGACACAATGTCTGCCCATCATTACTAATTAGGTGACCTTCACAGTGCCAGCCGACAGCATTCTTACCACTTTCTCCTTGTAAACAATGTATTTCAGCCACTTGAAATCCTGCCATTTGAATCCTGCCAGAACAAACAGGGAATCCTTCTCATACTGCTCCATTTTCTGGATTGCACCTTCAGGATATGTGATCCGGAGTGTTGTCTTGCCACCCACATCCTTTTCAAAGCCCTTCACTGGAGCCGAGTTCAGCCTGCAGGGCAACCAGAGAGAAGACACAGTCACGGATTCCCACTCACACTCAGATTCCCACTTGCACTCCTGTGTGTTGATGACACAGCAATCACTGCTGGGCAAGGGCTCCCTGTAGCAGCTGCTACAGTAGCAAATCTTAATTCTTGCAGTTCTTCATCACAAGCACTTAGGGAGGTTTGTATCAAGCGACGACAGCTTAATTAGAAGTTACATAAATTCTATAATTGAATATAATGCAAACCATTTCTGCATATCAACTCCTGTGATCTAAATAGGGTTGGAGGCTTTGGAAAAGTAAAGTGAAGAATATTGTCCTTGCACATTTAGAGTACAAACTAAGCATTAATATTTTAACAGCCCATTGATCCTTTGATGCGTTAGTTAGGTTCTGCAAGGCTGTGCTGAAAGACATGATGAAGCTCCTCATCAGTTTAAACAAACTGAAACTGGTCTCATTTTCCAGCCCCAGCCCAGAGCTTACACCACTCACCTGCAGCAAGGCTGCAGAGAGAAATAAGCCAACTAATAATTCTCAAAAAAATCCCACAGGATCAATCTGCACCTCTTTAATTCCCCAAACTGGCCCGTCGGGAGGGTGAGCTGCCTTGCAATGCCAGCACAAAGGAAGAGGTTGGGCTGGGACAAGGCTCAGCACCACTGCAGTCTCATGGGCTCCAAGGATTTCCTGCAGTGGAAGTGCATCCCACTCTGAAAACACTCAAGCAGCCACACAGCTTTGCTCTTGGGGATGCTGATTTTTAAGGAGATGCTATGTATTTAGCTGTGCTTTTGTTAAAACATTTCTCAGGAAGAAAGTTTTTTCCCTTGAAAAAGCAAATTGCTTTGGCATGAAGAGCCATAATGACTTTCATGACATTAAAGTTTTCAGAATTTCTATTCAAGACTAAAAATCCAAAGCTGAGGAAATTGCATGTAACTTGGAATACAAATCTTGCAGACATCAAACAGCAGCCTCTGATGGCACAGGATTGCCTGCTTGAATTATTGCATCATTCTTGACTTGGTGTTGTTCAATATACTGCAAAGTGCTCTTGGACTGCAAATTTTGCCACATAGAAATGTTGGATTTGTCTTTTTTAGCCCGGGTAAGCATTTTACATTGGAAAACTTCTAGTAGAATAAAAATCTCTATACAATCCGAAATTATATGCCAAATCTAGAGAAATACATTCTTAGGCATTTTTAGCAAAAATACTTACTTTATCATCAAGAATAAAAATATTAAAGCAAAACAATTTAGGAATCAGCACCACCACAATTAATATAGCAGATGAAGCCTTTTCCTGTGGTTTATACCCTTTGTAGCCTGACTTTGAGGGACAAGACCTGAGTACAATGCTCCCAGCCAGGCTGATCCCTTGCTTTTTCCTCTGTTGCTGATGGCACATTCACACACCACCCACTTCTTCTGTGGGCAGTATTTAAACTTTAAGGTGTTGTGTCTCTTTGGGGCAGATGACCTAATACAAAGCAAAAGCATGCAGCTCTAAAGGTAACAGAATACCACCAATACTACCAATATTCTGCAAAGAAAGCAAGTTTTACATATTTTCATCTGTTTTCTTTAGGATGAGGAGGTGTCTGCAGTTTCAAATGTGACTGTGCAGCTCTTTGGCAGGGTTTTTCCCATCCCCAGCTGCTGGGCTCACTGTTTTGCTGCTTGCTTTGTTAACACTCTCAAAACTTGGGAACCCTACTTGGTGTCTAAACAGGAAATAAATCAAACCATTTCCCAGGTGAAAAGAACCCAGGTCTCCAGCAAAGGGCCAGAGTGTGAGCTGCTGGTGGAGCCACAGAGACAGAGCCAGCAGCACCAAGGCCCAGGGCAGTCCCCGAGGGCAGGATGGGCAATGGAGCAGGGAAAGTTCAGGCAGCCACAGCACCCAAAGGTGCACACTGCACAGCCCAAATCCCTTCCCAGCCAGGATTCACTGGTGGTTATAACCACTGCTAAATCTTAGAAAACCTCAGTTAGGATGTCAGGCTTCTTTGTAGTGCCCATGGACAGGCAATTTTCTCCACAAGGTGTTCCAGAGTGTTTTCCTGTCTATGTTTGCTGATTACATATGGAGACACTAACTCCCAAGCTTGGTACCATGAAGATCCTTTCAGATGCCACTCAAGTATCACCATGAGGTGAATCCCTATCTGGCTCTAATCAGGAATTTCTGATACATATTTATTTGTGCACCATGAAGATCCTTTCAGATGCCATGGCTCTAATCAGGAATTTCTGATACATATTTATTTGTGCCCAGCCTGCAAACTATTCTAAGGAGGCATTTCAGAGCACTGATGACTGCTGCAAGAAGTCCTGCCAGGTAAATAGTGTGACAGCTGGGAATAACATCTGCACTGAAATCTGATAATGTCTAGTTAAAAACAATAAGTCACTCCAAGCTCTTTTAGAACTGACAAAGCTGAATTAGACTATCTTCACTGCAAAGAACAAAATTTCTTGCTGCAATTAGCAATTAGATGGTAACACAGGAGGCATCAAAGAACTCCACATACTGCTGGATCACTCCTTTGACCACAAATGTACCACATTTTTTTGTTTAAAATTCACTCTCTAGGTCCCAAATATCATCCTTCAAAGGAGTTCTGAAGTGTATGAAAAAGGATGTTATAATACATGGGACTTCCCCAGCTTCCACAGGAATAAAGCAAGCAGTTGGATACATATCCAAGCACCTGGCTTCATTTAACCTTTACAGTTGACTTCTCTCTCCTTTATCCATCCCACCAACAGCACAGGTGCTTAGCTGCCCTCTTATCCTCCCTGCTTGCAAACTGACATAGATTTACTGATGTGGAGAGAAAAAGTTGAAGTTTTCTTTTGGAAATTAAATAGTGGCCCTTCTGATGTAAATCTTAGTGGGTGGCTTAGACCAGATGGATTGAAACTGTTCTTTTGCTACTTTTTGAACAATCTGAGCCCAAGGAAAGGCTATAAACTGCACTTTAATTCACCTGAAATAACTACAAGTCACCCAACTATGACGAGGAATAAGAGCTCTTTGTTATCAACTGATAGTGGGATGAACTAGGGGAAGGGCTGTAAAAATTTTGTCCTGTTCAGCCATCCCTCTGTCCAGCATACTGATGGAGAAGCATCACAGAACATTCACAGGAACAAAGACTGAAAAGGAGCTTCTTGGTCTTTTCCCCCACAGTTAGAGGATATTTATTTCTCTCTGTATGTCCTATTCTCTCCTTACACATGGGAGAGAATAGAGACTGTGCTAAATAATACCTGCCTTAAATTCCTTTATTAATCCCTTTCTTTCTCCTACCTTTAGCACAGAATTCATTATTTGCCACCACGTCTTAAAGCTGATTGAAGTTGAGAGAGATTACATCAGATACATTTTTTTTAATATGAAGTCAGTTATCGTACTAAGAAAAAATACCAACTTAGACTTTGTTAAACCAGTTTTATAAACTTACACTACAGTTTATCCCACTTTTATTATTTACCATCCTAATATTTTGTTACTCAAAACCTGATAGAAAACTGTTTTTTTTTCAGGTCAGACTAATGGGCCTGTAGCTCCCTAGAGCACATCCTCCCTCCCTCCTACACGCACTCTCTCACTCTCCATTAGTACAGGTATTATGTTTGTTAATCTCCAGTCACCCAGAACGCCTCCCTGACTTGACAGATTTATTACTCAGAGTTATGACTAGACCTGTGATTTCACATATCAGCACGTTTTTCAGGCATTCTGAGATGGCGATGATCCAGGTCCTCAGCAAAAGCAAGAAGTCCTAACTCTGACTGTGGTCCTTAGCACTCCCACCACTCTGCTTCTGCTGCCTTATTCAACATTGTCATCTGCAGAGACACAGAGCCAAAGTATTGCTAGTTTCTAGGGCACACTTACAGGTGTTTAATCACTGCTAGGTCCCCTCTCATAGAGGCTTCCTGCTTCCTAGCACCCTATGCTGTACCATGCTTAGTCCTGCCCATCCTAACTGTGAGGTGCAGTTCCTGGGGAATGCTACACATGTATGACCAATAATACCATCCTAAGCTACCACAGGAATATATCTGGGAGCAGAACCAACAGTGTGAATTACTGCTTGACCACCTAAGGGCATCACAAAAGCAGCTTTTAGAAAGGAGCTATGAAGGGAAGGTTCAAGTGACATCATACAAGAGACCACATTCCCAAGAAGCTGTGGAAAACAGAAAGTTTGAGGAATGCCTTTACCCTTTGATGTGATCATCATTTAAAATAAACCTTTTTAAGCTCATGTCTATTTTTACCCCCCTCTAAGTTAACGCTTCCATCAAAGGGATACTGTCACTGGTACAGGTTAAAGTTTGCCTGCACAGCAAGTGAACTGATACAGAAACTGAATATGGGACAGGAACTGTAATGCCAAAGACTCACCTGACAACAACATCATAGTCATCAATTTTTAACCCCAATGACTTATTTGCAAGTACTCCACCATTTCCCACAATAATACATCGCCGGCAGCTGAGACTGTGGAAGAAACAGAGAAGTGATTTTTGTAACAGAACTTCAAACACAGAGAGAGAGCACATATTTAGTTTGCATGCATCTGAGAACTACAGGAAACCTCTGTAAATATGAAGAATTAAGAAGGGGACAGAGATACACTTGATCCCCAGCTCACCTCATCATGCCCAGGCATTACATGTGATAAACTGCTTTCAACACCTCACACCACGTGTGGCCTAATGAGATGAGCTGTCAGGACAAGCAGCTCCTCTCCCCACACACCCCTGCTATGATGGGCTTGAATCAAACCCATCTGTTTACTTGAACCATCTCATTATTCATTCAGCACTGAAATAACAATAAACCAAAGGCTTAGTGAGGAAGTCTTCTCTCCAAGCAATTTTATGAGTGCAGGCAGATCTTGCCAGGTATCTGGGGTGTGCTCACCTTGCTGAGAGCAAAATTGCTGCTGTTATTGTGAGACTTCAAGAGACAGAAAAACATTAAACTGAGAGAAAAAAAGACACTCCCCTCCCTGACATGCCTGTCCAGTAGGAAATATATATGGGGACACAATAGGTGAGGAAAGGGAAGGAAAAGGACCTTAATTAACAAAGAAACAGGAAAGAGAAGGAAGAGAACAGTTTCTCGTGGAACCCTGAGTCACGAGAACTCTCCGCAGCAGATGTTAAAAAGCGATTTTGTTTTGGAGACAGAGAAAGGACTTCTTTCCAGCCATCTAATCCCAAACACAGCTGGCTCTTCTGGCAATGTGCCTCCATCTCTGGTAGTTCACTGAAGGAATACGTGTCTGCAGAGCCTTTTTCGGAAAGGGTCCAAGGCAATCAGTTGTTTGGAGCAGATCCCTGAACTAGGCAGCCTTCCTAGTCCCAGGCACAGTCAACTGGTTGCTTCTAGGCTGTCCTCTCTGTGATAAGTGTAAAGAGCCAGCACGAGGAAAGCTCTGTTTATGTGGGGTTCCTTTTTGCAGAGCAGGGCTGGAGGGCACTCAAAAGACTCAGCTAAACCACTGAAGGTCACTCTGCTGACAGAGACATCAGCTGAAGACACGTGCAGAATTAACAGCACCAAGAAATGCTCAGGAACAGCTTCCCCTGCCCAGATAAAGTTCCACTGCAGATCCGAGCCTTTCCAAAGGAAAACACTTCCTCATGCAGATGGACATATTAGCCCAGTATCCCCAAGAGCTAAAGAAGTGTGTGTTTGTGATAATCAAACCACAATAGAGAAAGAATTTTATAGATGTTGGCATAGCAAAAAAATCCCAAGCAAGCCAGTTCTGGCAACAAGGAGAAATCAGACACAAGATCTGGTTCAAGCAGTATATTGTGACGAAGAAGGAAAGGAGAGCCAGCCCCAAGTACACCAAAATTAGTGACAAAGATGGTAGCAACTTTGTCAAAACCTTTAAGGAAAAGGTGCTGTAGGAGGGAGTATGAGACATAGTTCAGTTTTGGCCAAGTGATATTTCAGAAGGAAATACACTCTTTTGATGATTATGATAAGAAAGTTTGACCTCCTAAAAAACAGACTGCTGGGTGAAATACTGTACCTTCTCTACTCAGCTGTCTCTCAGCTATGACTCCTTTTGAATTTTCTGTTTTGAAGAATACAGTGCTGAAATCCAAAGGCAGCAAGCTCCAGGCACTCCACTCTATCCTCTTCCCACTTACTCTTAGGATGTTCTTACCAATTCTCAATACAGATCTGCTTCTTTCAACCTCAAACCACTTAATCACTTTCTTCTCTTTTCTGCTAAATTAAAGCACCATCTACTGTCAGCAGTCCCTTCCACATCTGCATGAGATCCACTTACTGAGACAGCACTGTGTATAAACATCAGCCTCTCACAGGGCACACTGGTGAGCATGAGCTGCTCCACATGAGATAGAAGAACCAGTTCCACCAGCCATAGCTCCTCCAGCAGCCTCATGGCCCTGCTCCCACACAGGACTCACAGACTGATCAAACCCCACTCCTAATCTTCTGTTGACCAAACAAACTGGAGTGAGCTCATGACATCTTGCACAGTATGGCAGCTCTTCTAAGTCTTGACTCACACTTGCAGTATGTCCCTGAACAATTCTCAACTTTTTCCCAGATCTCCAAAGTACTGATTCTGGAAGACCAGCATGCAGAGCTAATGGTGCTAAGGGTAGAGTGCCTTTTGCACAGAGATTTTACTTACATCATTCCAATCCTCTTCTTACAGTCATTGGTTTGCAGAATATAATCCTCATCTTGTAAACATGACCTGCACTGTTGCCTCTGTGATGCCTGATTTTTGATTTGGTTCCAGGGAAGGATGCAACAAAATAGTCAAGACTGACTTGGCCCTCCTGCTCGTTACATTCCCAGTCTTTGGTTCTGGCAAATTTTCCCAGTGGAATTTTACATTTACTCCAGACTGGTTTTAGCCCCTGTGAACACCTGCCAGCAGGATTACACTTGGAAGTGTCACTAAAGGATTAATTCTCCACACTGACAATAACTTTTTAAAGCTGTGTAACATATCCTATTCCTAAAAAGGATACCTCTAAATGGTGTAGTATAGGAACAGAACATAATGGACTGAGACAAATAACTAATGTGTGCCTCTAAAAGTTTACCTTTACCATTCAAGCTTCTAGTTCATCTAAAAATATATCCTCTACATGGCAAGATTTAATTTCCACAAACCCAAAGTAGCATAACATAAGTTATGCTGCCATCCTGGCTCTGTCCTCTGTAGGATTTTTCCTGCAAAACCAAATGAATCAACTTGACCTACCTCTTTATTATCTGTCATATTTCTACAGAAATGGCACAACATTTGCTGTTCTATCAAACATTCCAAGAAGGGCTAAAAAGCAAACAGTAATAACAACTATAATTCTTTATTTAAGTCTCCAGTGTTTACTGACTTTAAAAGACATACAATTGTCATTTAATATCCTTGTAGTTACTAATAAAATAATCACAAAGTATTTAATTGTTGCTGCAAAATGAGATATTTTCTATCTTTACCCCCAAAAATGAAACATTAACTGAATGGTTCTGCCTTTACTCATTGTAATTGATAGGTTAATCACTTTTGCCCAGCTTCATGTCTGAACCACTCTTCTACCCTCATGGTTCTGACATATTTAAATGCATTCTCCTTTTTCCTTAAGTCTGCAGATAAGATTTTTCATTAGTAACTTTCTGACCCTAAGGTCTCATCTTTGATCTTCTAACAGCTTAAATGTCTTTCAAATGTACTCTGTCTACTGATTGTGCCTGAGCATGGGAAACCTGCACAGTCATTGCTGGCTCCGGGCAAGTTTCTGGGTGAAGAAATACACAGTGCAAGCAGCATCAGTTACAACTCAATTGTTTCTCCACAAAGAAGTGTGCAAACACCTTTGTGCTTGTTTACACAGTATGTCAAAGCCCTATTTCTTTTCCAGAAGATTTCAAGGATTGAGCACATCAGACACAGCCCATGTTTCTGTTTGCTACCAGGGTGGTATGAAGGACGGTCATGGACTTTCCACAACAGATACTCCCTAAAGCCCTAAGCTGGGAGCTGCAGCCAGATGTACAGACTCCTGACACAGATACTCCAAGGTTCAGTTCATCTACACCAAAAGCAGGATTCATGCAGATTTTCTTGAACAATATAGAACTGTAAACACGTGTATGCTTTGTAGCAATTCCTATTTCCTCTTCTCTCTTATCAAAGTGCTTTAGGGATTTGTCAGGGGAGAAAAACCACAAAGCCTTTCTTTATGCAACTTTGGATCTGAAGGCTTTGAGGAAAGATATAACAGAATAATTAAAAAATACATCTTTAGGGTAGCTGGTGCTTAAGGAGGCTTAACATACTCTGGTTTGATCTGGCTGCTGTTACTTAAATGGGTGGTATCAACCTGAACCAGAGAGGGACACACACCTCTCTTGTTCTATCAAATCCTTTCCTCACTTGTTCAGGTAATATACTGCATTAGTAAAGACTATGATAGTTATAAGCTCAAACTCTCAGTTTTCTTTCATTACGAGCTGGAGGCAATACAAAAAACGTCAGTCAGGCTTTTATATTTATGTCTTTTCATAAGAAATTTACATGTCATCACCACAGAGATGTAACCCAAAAATCCACTGAAGTCCAGCCAACAGATGGGCTGTGGAATTATAAATCAAGCCCTGATCCATTTGCAGAATGAGGGACAGGCCACTGGAGGAGCTACTAAATCAAGCAATGAAAATCTCAGCAATATAAGTGGGCCTGGAAAAGCCAATGGAGGGCAAGTTTCAAAGATGAGGCCCACTGACATCTGTGTTAGGGAGAAAGACGTGCCAGCTCAGAAGGAAGAGATCAATGGTTCTAGAGAAAGTCCCCTGGATCTCCAAACTTTTCCAGACAAGCTCAGGGGTGAGTTGTAACTACCCTCCTGAACATCACTGCAGCTTCACCTACCCCCTGCCCTGGAGCAGGAGCAGGTTACTACTCAACACAACGGTGCTGTAATAAGGAGTCATGAAGAAAGCAGGGCACCATGTACACTGTGTTACAGGTGTGAACCACAGCCTTTGTTCACATGCCCTCCAGCTGCTGCTGGTTATAACACAAAGGAGGGATTAGTGGAAGTGAGCTGGCAAAGCTGCTGTGGGATGATGAAAAGTGCACGCATACCTGGAAGGATCACGTTTGCCTCATTTCAGCACCACGTCAGTACATTGTGTCAGGAAAGGTGCATCAGGATGCCCTTTAGCACAGGAATAATCAAACAAAGTTCATTTCCAGGGCTTATGAGAGGCAAGTGAATGCTACTTCTCAAGGACCAGCTTTGTGAAGAAGGGCAGAAATAGAGAAGCTTGGGTAGGCACAAGACCAAAGGCTTCGTGTAGAGATCCTCCACCACACAACTGTAATCCTCTCTTTCCTTTCTGTGCTGTCACGCACTGCTCTGACCTCACCTTTCCTGCCTCTCCCACCCTTCCCCTGGGAAAGCTGCCTTCAGTGTATAGTTACATGAACACTTATTCCAATGGGCTGGGCAGTGCTCACCCTCCCCACCCATCCCAGCCTCTGCCTCTCCTGCTGCCATTTCAGCTCTGTGCCCACACAACCCTTCAGTGGGAGGGGAGCTCTGGAAATGAAGTCACTGGAGTGACCTGGATTGAGAGAAAAGCTCATAAACAGGAATCATCTCACTGATCTACTTTGAAGTCCCCTTTTAAACAATAGCAACAGCACAAGGAGAAGGGCAGCAGCAGTAGCAAATATGGCTTCTTAGACTTGCCAACAGAGAAAATGTTGGTGTAACTCCATTCTGAAAAGAAGGTGAACCTGGAGGCTCTTTCCTGCTTCTAGAAACAGTCCACTAGACTTCTGAGAGCCTACAAGTGGAAGGGTTCATAAGATCTCCCAAGCCCAACCCCTTGAACGTCACAGACTTGATTTGTGCCTCTTATCTAATTCTTCCACAATAGGACATTTTCTGAGTTCTTTATCATAGAACCAAGAATGGTTGGAGTAGAAAGGACCTTTCAAGGTCCCCTAAGTCAGGCTTTCTCCAGTTGCTTCAAGGTGTTGAGCAAAGGGGAGAGGTCTGGACTTTGTTCTTTAGCAGTGAGTAGGAAGAGAGTAGCTAAACCCAAGGCTCTGCCCCCAGCACACTGCTGCTGCCATGGAGGGGAACTGTTAGGATCTGCTTGAAGCTTCAGACAAGATGAAGGAGCTAGCCTTTATCTACCAGTCTTCTCCACCAACTTGTTAGGAATCAAAATTGGCAGATACCCATTGCTGCCAGCACTGGAATTCAGTGATGACCACAGCAGAAGAACATTTCTGGAATGATACCCAAGTCTTCATTTGTGCCCTACTCACCAAGCTGGTTTAGCAGAGCAGCACTATGGCAGCCTTAACACCTCCTACAGTTCCCAAGCTCTTTCTCCTAATAACTCCTCTGTTGCACCTCCATACTTTAGGCTTTCACTTTCCAGCTTGCTATCCCAAGCCTCCTTGAGTCCCTTTCTCTCATAAACACTTCTATTTTTATCCTCCCTAAGACTTGGTCACTTGGAAGGGCTTTGGGAGGTATTTGATTGTGATGCACATGTACTACACGACCAACATCCACTGATATGGATTTATCAGAATTCCCAAGAAAACAGTACTGCCTCAAGATATCTGTGTGTTTACACACCACCAAACCTTGTTGCTGCAATATCACAGAAATAAATGTCTAGCCTGTTCCTGAGGTCTCATTTGAACTTGGTATCTCATGGATTTTGCACACATTTCATGGGGTTTAAGTGTTAGATCTTTCCTATATCTGCAAACTCATTGTAAAGAATACAAACCAAAGTGAGCAGCTCATGCCAGAGTCATTATGCTTCAGAATCTCCTGTGAAATTACTTTCAAAAAGCCTGAAACATTCTACTCTTCAAGAACAGGTGAGTAGCAAGGGTCACAACTACATTAACCTTCATTGCAAGAATCTTCCAGCTGCCCTCTGTCATTAACACTAATTTCATATGAGCATCCTTCTGAAAGAGTGTATATGTGGATTTTTCAGCAGATTAAAATCTTAACTCTCTAACCAGAACTGAGATAAACCCCAGGTGGATGAGACTCAGTTGTGTGCAAAATCTCTAAAAAGGTCATTTATAAAATGGTTTTACCTGGGCATAATTTCTCAAATTAATCCAAAGTCTGAAGGCTAACCCTATCTGGCACTGCTGTGAGACAAGGCAAACTTCAAAGACACCTAAATTAACACACAGACTGTGCAAGACTAAGAATAAGCTTTCACACAGAGAGTAACTCCCAACTACAGCAGGCAAGTTCTACAGTCAGCATGAGAGATGCAGAGAGCTATGGAAAGGCTGGTTAAGCTTATGAACTTTGTCACCAAAAGTGAGCAGGAGGGGAGCTGGGCCAGGAAATAAAACCCATGTGTTTAGAAAGCAGGAACAGTGTTGTCATGCTGGGTCAAGTACCACTGGAAAGATGTATTACCAGGACTTCAAAAAGAACTCAAGTCCCAGAGTAAAAACCTCTGACAGCTTCTGAAAAAAAACCTACCCCTAATCTGGGAGGTGGCACTAAACCAAACCTGCAGGAAAAATGGAAAGAATGACAGAAAAGCAAGGACAGGAAGGACTAAAGGACTATCACTGGGAAGCTGATTGTAAATATGCCAGTGAGTTTCAGAAACAACCTCTACAACAGAACTGAAGAATCAAAGGACCTTCTTCTAAAGGCATCAATTCAAATATCACAGGACCCAGGAGACTGCTATCCTGTTCATCCTAGCACAGGCTTGGCCAACACAACCAAACATTCCTACTTTGAGAGTAAGGTATCAATGAAAAACATTGCTGAAATAAGCCAGTCCCTTCTTTCCTTCTAAAGTTCCTTGTGATTCTGTTGCTTTGTCAGAAAGGCTGGAAAAGAGCAAAGTGTTTATTGAAAACCTGCTATTTACTTCCTTGAAAATGGGGCAAGAGGATGTCTTGGAACAACATATGAAACAAATTATTAGGAAATAGTCAAAAGCTAAATGCTTTTTTCTACTTATGTTTGACTTGACAGAGGTCTCCAGAGTCTACAGATTTACTCTAAAGACGACTCAGTTTTCAGCTCCTGACTTACTCATCCACATCCAAATGTACTGGCAATAGTTTCTGGCAAAAAAGGTCTAACAAAATTTATTTACGACATATGGAAAAGAATCACTTTTACTCCTTCTCTTCTGAAGGTCTCATCTTACCTGTCAAGAGCTGGAGTTAGATGATAATCTTTGGTTGCTGACAGGATGGCTTTGATCAGATTATCTGGGGAGAAAGGAAGAAGACATTAGGAACAAGTTCTGACTCCTAACGGAAATGAGAAACAATGTGGAGTAAAGCATCTGAAGCAGTCACTTGAAGGAACTGAAAGGTTCTCAATAGGAAGGAACACGAAGTTGAATATTCCTATTTTCTCTGGACAATGACCTTCACACACAGCCTGCAATGACATGTTATGTGCCAAATTCTGATGCAGTGTGTAATTGCCTTGCACGGAGAGTGTCACAGGGAACAAGCACCGTACATTTTATAGCAGTGAGTTCATATCCCCTGCCCTGAGATGACAGTTTCACAAACACTTCAGACATGAAAAGGCCAGCATCACTGTCACTGCTTGCCTTAAGAAAAGCTTTTATGTGGCTGAGTGGTGAACTGGATGCAGGAACAGAACCAGGCTAAAACGGATGCTTTCTATTCTGTGGGTTACTTTCAGTTTAGGTTCCTCAGTCTGTCTTTCTTCAATTAAAGCACCATAATTGCATAAAGAAATTCCCATGGAACTGCAGCCTACACTGATACCCTGTGAAAGCTGCAGCAACCAGGGGATGTAAGTTATGCAAGCACAGGCACACACAGATTAAATGCATTAAGTTGTAGAAGCACAATGATTACATATAAATAATTCTATTGGCTATGGAAACTCTGGAGTCTGCTTGCCTCTAGATTTTGTCATTTGTCCCTAATTTTTCCACCTCTCTCCCCAGAGAGGTCCAAACTCCTTCACCATGACCCAACCAGGGCCAAGAAGCAGTAAGGCTCTGGCTATTCTGTATTTACAAATGTACCAGTAACTTCAGAATGTCTGTACTGGGTTTGATAAAAAGTCCATCTGCTTCCAAATCCTGACCCTAACTGTGGTCTTAAGCAGATGCCTAAGAGCAAAACAAAACCAAAGCAAACAGATGTATTTCCTTGAAATTCTCTTCTGCTATTTAACTGTTTTCAAATCAGGGATTTTATATGTCAGATATAGCTTCTTTATATCTGGTAACTTGCAATGATTTCTATTCCATGAGCTCAGAATCCTCCTTGATCCATATGGACATTCAATCACTTCCCTTTGCAATTTTGAATATGGCTTCTCTGAGCTTCATCTATACTGGAAAAGATTGTGAATGATTAGTTCCCTTCCATCTTTGCTTGGGAGATTACACATAACTCTAATATCCTTAAATATATCTGTCAACTAGTTCAAAAGTTCTTAGGAAACAGCAGCCAAAATGAACAAATAAGTCTCATTTCTTTACAAAAGACTAAAAACAGTATAGAAACATTAAGAAAACTGACAACAAGTGATTTTTCACCTCAAACTTAAACAGCTTTCCTGACAGACACTAATTACTGCAATCAGATTAGGGGAGACCCTTTCACATGAAGAATTCTATTTTTCTTCACTGCCTCTTTCCTCAGCAGCAACAGGACAAATGTGTGGGATAAACACAGGAGCTCAAGGCAGCCCGCATGCCAAAGAGCTTTGATCCTGACAACAAGCTGGCCAGACACACAAAGGTGATAAACAGCAAACTCTGACAATTACTTTGAGATTTGGGGAAGTTTTTGATATGGCACCACTGACAGCACCAGCACAACCTGCGACCTGCCAAGGGTGCACACTCCCTTACAAGCTGGGGAGTGTGATTACCTTCAGATCATAGTTTGGAGTGGAGCAAGGGAAGAGGCAGCTTATGAGGGTAAAAGCAACTTTGATAACAAAATAATGGTGTTTAGTTTTCCTTCATCTCAGGAATTTCTTCTGATGCATAGGCAGCAGGCTTTCCCTCCAACAGAATGCTATTCCCCTAAATCTGCCCTAACAGCTGTAGGTTGCTGTGACCTCTAATGGCATCATGCCACAGTCCTCTCCTTGGCCTGCTTTACACCTTGGCTTTTGCTGGACAGCATACTTTACTGACATTGTTTTCCCACATTCTCAAAGAAGACATCAAAGGATTGCATGTCAAGGGCTGCAACCTCCCATCTACCAAGCTTTTGTTATGCCAGGTTTGCTCTACCACCCACAAGTTACACCCTGCACTACTTGGAGACCATCCCATGGACTATTTTAGAAAAAACATTAAAAGAATACAGTTGAGTGATGCACTCAAATGATTCTGGTTTACTCATCTTGCAAGATAATTAGCAATGCCTTCTTAGTGAATGCTCAGGAATGAAATCAAACTGCTTTAGGAGTGGATATGGCAGCATTTGGAATGGAGGTGCTTCCCAAACAAAAACAAAACAAACAACAATATTCAGCATTCAGTACAGATTATGAAGGGACAAATAGAAAATAGCTCTTCAGCAGACTCCACAGTCCAACAACACATGGCATCCAAAACTTTTGGATGTTGCACAGATCTCAGTGTTACTATCCAAAACTGCTAAATTAAGCTCAATAAAAGACCAAGTAATTCACTGTCAAGTGCTCACCCACAGCAGAAATTAAGGTGGCACCAAGTTCATCTGGTCTAGCCCTCTTTTTGGAAGCCAGGAGCAGGAGCTACAAGCCAGGAAAAGCTAATGGCTGGGGCAGGGGACAGGCACTAGATCTTTCTGGTTGAGCCAGAACTCTACTGCATTGTTGCTAAGGTGGACACTTGCACCTTGAAGCTGGCACGAGGATGAAAAGACAAGACCATCTCCAGTTACTGTATTTTCCTGGGAGAAGGTTTGAAGGATCACCAGATGCTGCTGTGGATGACCTGCAACCTTTCACAAGACCACAAAGCAGTTAGGAACAATACAGAACCACTGGCAGGATCTTTTAATACAGCTGGGGCAAGGTGGAGCATCACTTGCAATCACCACTGCAAAGGCTACTATCACAGGTATCTTTTATCACCTCCAGGCTGTGACTAAAGAAATTTGGGCGCCAGGAAAGCAGGTGCATTATGTAAAATCAATTGATGAGACATGCTCTCTCCAGGGTAAGAAACTGAAGAGGTGATGAGCACAGCCTGCCTTAGACACCTATGTACTGAGGGAAAATAATGGGTGCAAGTACACATAACAAATACTACAAAGAGAAATTCCTTCCTGCTTCAAGTAACAGGATTTGTGCACAGCCACTGCCTGGAAGTCAATGACTGCAAAAAATTTTGCAAGGACAAAAGAAAGGCTAAGTTGTCCACATGAACACAACAGCAGGGCAAGCAACCTACTGCAGTTTTGTGCAGCCATAGCCTGTTTATTTTATACATATATATTTTTTTTGTCATGGAGAATTTAGATCACTGGGGAGAGTGGGAGATTATTTAACCCATTCATCTATCAACCACTATTCATGCACTCTTACTATAAAAACAAAGCAAGAAGCCTCTGCACATTTTTCTCCCATCTAGAGGAGGAGTCAACTACATTTATCTAAGAATCCTGAGTTATCTTGACATATTCTATCAACTTTGCCTTACAATATCAGAAGATTCAAAAGCCAGCTTGGTACTGCATGATTTGTTTGAACACAAGTACATATTGACTTCAGGTTGACCCTGAAATTTTCAGACATTTGGAAAAACTAAATAGTTAGAAATTAGGCAGACAGTGACCACACAGTGAGAAACAGCCGAAGTCTCAATTCTAGCCTTTTTCTCTGTTATTTATGTGAAGGAATGGAGGAGACCTTCACTGTGAATGTCAACAACACTTAAAATTGTTGTTTTTAATGCAGAAACTTCTTGCTTCTATCACCAAAAAAATACGGGAGGACTTTCCAGTCCACAGGGCTTATGGCAGGCATCTCAGGGTCTACCTTCTGCCTGCCTTGAAAGCAGGCAAACTGGGATGTTTGTGCACTCTCAAGTGGCCAAGAGAAGAGGCTGTAATTTTTCAAGTTGTGTATACCAGCCACCTTCCTCCAAACCCAGCACACCTACCTGCCCCTGCTGGCAGCAGTAAGTGTGTGAATGCCCTGCCTCAGGGTCAGGGGACACCACGCTGCTGCAGTGCTCTGTGTCTGCCCTGGGAGCCATGGCCAGTGCCCATCTCCACTGCTGGTCACCCAGCTGCCACCCCTCCAGCCAGCACTTCTGCAGGTCCAGGGCATCAGTTCCAGCTTTTGGGAATAGACTGACTCAAGTGAGGTTGTCTGACATTCTGTAAAGTCTGCCAGGAGACTCTGCACATGGGTCCCTGTCCCAATAACAGAATGCCACGTGTGTGTCAGCTTTGTGGGGAGAGTAAACTAAACACTACCAATGCTATGGATTAAACAAATCACAGTATTTACAAACAATTTCTTAGCACAAGCCAGTGCATACACTTCTCTTCAATACACTACCCAAAAGTTCAGCTCTGTATAAAATTCCTCCTTCAGCATTTTTTTACCTTAAGGTCTTGCTCCATATGGGAGCTGAGGAATGACCTTTAACAGAAAAGTTTAGGGAGCTGGGCCTGTTCAGCCTCAAGAAGAGACAATTGAGAGGGATCCTCACCAGTGTCTGTCAGTCTCTGAAGGGAGGTGTCAGAGGATGGACCAGGCCCTGCTCAGTGGTGCCAAGCAGTGGTACAAGAGGAAACAGGCAGAAACTGATTCCCAGGAATTCTCTCTGAACATAAGGAAGAACTTTGCTGTGCAGGTGACCGAGCACTGGGGCAGGCTGTCCAGAGGGGGTGTGGGATCCCCTCACTGGGGATATCCCAGAGCCATCTGGACACAATCCTGTGCAGTGTGATTGGAGATGAGGCTGCTTGAGCAGGGAGGTGGGATCAGATGACCCAGTGTGGTCCCTGCCAGCCTGAGCCATGCTGTGATTTTCCACCTTGGTGCCCAGCACAAGGCCATGGACCCAAGTCTCACCACATGTTCTATTCTCTCTTCCAGAAACACTGTGTCCAGCTGTAGACAGTCAACATTTTCATACCTTTGTGAAGCTGGGAATCCAGTGGTTACAACATGTATCACAACGTGTCTGAAATGCCCTGCACCACTTCTTTTTATTATTGATCAGCTGACTTTAGGAGGTCAATGCAGGACAAAGCAGCTATGA